CATTTGTATGTTGTAGGCATGGAAGGGGGACCAGTCGTTGCCTGGAGGCCCAATAGAGCGGTCCATGTGTACTGTAGGCCTTGTCAGGTTATCCAGTCAGACTAAAGGCTCATGTGTGCATGCACTATATGTGTATTTTAGTGTGTGGTATTTTGGGGGAAGTCAATAAGTTTTGGCTTACAATTATGGAATAAATGTTTTTCAAGTACCATTGGTGAACGTGGGAAGAAAAAGGCGTGATTGTACACACTCATCAGCAGCATTGGAGATTCCGCATTTGTTATAGTACTCTGATTTTCAAACAATTGTATTTCGAACAAATGAGTTTTCTTAACTTGGGTTTGATGGAAATTGTGTTTTAACTTAATTAAAAATGAAATTTTTGTTTGTGAAAGAGTCTCGAGGCTGATAAGGAACAAATAGGTGAAGGCATAGTGTGTTTGAGACTATGTCTTGATGTTTGACCCTTTTCGTTGTGCGTTTCAGTATAGTGGCTATCATAGGTTCAGGATCAGGTGTTGGCAACCCAGAAAGGACAGGTCTGAGTGTTGAGGAGATTCGCGGGATCATTGTTGCCTAAGTGGTCATGGCAATCAGGGAAGCGATTTCGGATATTTTTGGGCCTGTCAAGACCACGGTTACTAAGGAGTTCGACAGGCGTTATGTCGTCGTTATGCAGGTTGTTTCTGTCACAGCCACTGCAACCATTGCTACTGCAAAACTTCATAAAGGTGGGACGATGTAGTACCGAGAATTCAGTAGTACGAAACCTCCGGAGTTCATAGGGGATAAGGACCCGATTCTCAATTTGAGATGGATATCAGACGTGGAGGGATATTTCTACATGTGTTCATGTCTCGATTACCAGAAAGTGAAGTTTGCGCAGAACCTTCTCCGCTGGGGAGCAAAGGATTGGTGGAAGTTTGCGACCTAGACCTTTGCGCATGTAGAGTGAGCCACAGTGATGTGGGAGCAGTTTTTGAAGATGTTAAGGGCAGAGTATCGCCCGCTTATGGAGAGAGAGCGACTGGAACAATAGTATATGTTGCTCAAGAAGGAAACAAAATCGGCGACAGAGATCACCAAGATGTTTACAGAGAGAGCCCTCTTCTGCTTGGAGTATGCTTCTTTTACGCAGGTGCAGATGTTGTGATACTTGAGCATGCTCAAGACTAAGATTTGGGAGTTCGTGTCGAGTCAGCAGTATCAGACGTTGGCTGAACTGCATACAAATGCTAAGAGGAGAGAGATCGAGATAGAGACCCGGGGGAAAGAGGAAAGGCCAGTTTTAGTGCAGTCGCAGTTGGCGGCCAGGCGGTTTAAGTCCACTGACTCGAGTCTAGGAGTAGTAGAGTAGAGGATTTCTAAGTGTGGTAAGTTTCACGATGGAGTTTGTAGATCTTTTTCATGTTGCAAATGTGGAAAGGAGGGGAATTTCAGCAGGGATTGCAGGCAGAGTGCATGGGTTTGTTTTCATTGTGACCAAGAGGGCCACATCAGAGTCCATTGTCCCCTTCTCATTTTTGGTGAAGTATAGAACCCTACACCTTTAGATTTGCATATGCCAGATGGACGCCAGGAGATGGCCTAGGTGCCTAGTACTGCAAGAAGAGCCTACCAGCTTGTTTTGCAGAGGGTCCAGGTGTGGCAGCTATGTAGACTGCAGGTATGTTTCCAATTATCTATTTCTACATTTATGTGTTAATTTTGCTTCCGAAAGAATTCTTTTAGGTTGATTATTGTCTTGTGTAAGTGTTTTCATTCGAGGAGGTATTAGGTGCTTGTTAGACTATAGTGTTGGGGTGATATAGACCCTAAACTTTCAAATTGATCTCTCTACATGTTCTTGTTTGATGAAGGTTTTGGGGTTGAGTTGAATGATTTGAATGACTATCTTACTCCACTTTTGATTATTTCTTAGGGGCAGGAATGGGTAGTACTCCAGTTAGTTCGATTTGAAGCTTTAGTTTCGTATTGGTTGCGTCCGAATAATTTGTATATTCCTAGTGGAGGAGAGTGGAGATTTTGTAGCGTGAAAATTCTGTACCAGGGTGCAGTCTCCAACCATAATTTCTTAAGTGAAAGACTTACGCATAATTTCTTAATCTTCAAGGTTTTGCGTTATGGTCGTTTCTAGTTGACGAAATTCCTTTCGAGTTGTCTTAATTGCAATTTGTGCTAGTATTTTGTAGGGTGTCATCGTGCTTAAGAGTCCTAGGGTGTTAAGAGCTCAGGTCGAGGGTTGCGATGAGGATCCCCTTATATGTTCTTCTTTGATTGGGACTTAGGGGTCCGAGTCTTAACCCAAAGGCCTGATTGGGATAGTTAAGTTTCGCAAGTTTGGTGTGTGCATATGTAAGGCTGAGGGGCTTTGTTAGTGGTTGACAGATCGGGAGTAAGCCCGAGAGTCATTAGTGGCTAACGGATCGGGGGTAAGTCCAAGAGTCATTAGCGGTTGGTGGATTGGGAGTAAGCTAGAGAGTTGTCAGTGGTTATCGGATCATGGTTGTTAGAGCCGAGTGGGTATATAGTCTATTTTAGCATATGTTTGATTAATTTCCGTTCAGGATTTTGCTAGTGCATTTGTATGCAAGGTTATCAGCGACAGTGGTCGGTCGTGGATTCCATAATTTGGATTATTAGTAAGACAGGGCAAGCCTGGGGAGATCTTGGACATATTGAATTAGTGAATTTTCGGTCAGCATGGTTGATTTATATGATAAAATTGTTCACTAGATTTTGGGGCACGACCTTGGAGTCTTTGAATTATGGTTAAGGATTTAATTTCTCGTAAGGTGGTTAATTGTTGTTTCTCCAACAGGGTGCATGTTTTTGCTAAAATATTAAATCGGCATTGGTTTCGTAAGTGGTTATCTGGGTATGGCATCGATCCAGTGTTCCGACAGTTGAGAGATTGATTGTTAGATGTCTCGTCCAAGAATAGACGTTGCATCTATTTGTGAAGGCCTAGGGTGGTAACTGCAAACCATGGTAAGGGAGTTGTGTTGGCCAGTGCAATTGAAGTACAACTAGATTCCAAGGGAAAAACCTAATTTAAGTTGGGGAGAAAACACTCATTTCCAGAATAGATCAATTGAGGACTTAAAGGGATCAAGGTAAGGTTTTTAGGAAAAACTTGGTGCCACGACGTGGAGTAAGGAGGACGACGACGTGGCATGTCCATTATAAGAACGTGTGTTTTGATTTCTGTCACGATGTAACACCCATGTTCCAGGTATTTTTTTTCATTTTTTATCTTAAAGAATAAAATTATTTGCAAAAATGGTCCTAACGCGATGTGTACCTTTTGGTGTGTGTGTGTGTGTGTGTATATATATATATATATATATATATATATATATATAGATTACATATATATATATATATATATATATATTATATATATAATGGAGTGCCAAAAAAATGTATCGAGTTTGGTGTCATACCAACACCCTGACTCAACACGGCAACCAGATAACCGGAAGGGTGTGGAATACTGAACAAATTAATATATATATATATATAATATATATATATATATATATATATATATATATAATATATATATATATATATATATTATATATATATATATATGATACTCGTTTTAAAACAAAAAATAATATATTCTCAAAACTAAAAACGATGAATAATATGATGAATAATATAGTGATTTTTATGTGCACTACATTAGGTATAGAGAAATTGTCACCACAAACCCGTTTATATTTTAATTTTAACTGTCTAACCATAACGGTATTATTCGATATATTATCAAAAAAAAAAAAAATATTAAAAAAAAACTATGTTTTGTAATTTAAAATTGGTTATTAGGTAAACTGAAATTCAACATAAATTTCGTATGGAATGTGGATCTAAACAGTTCAAGTACGTTTCATCATTTGCCATTTTTAGCCAAAGAGTCGTAATGCAAATGTATGAATCCGGTGAACCTTGTGGAGTCACCCAAACATCACATGTTAAATTTATTCCAAATTATAATTTCTCAAAACCTTGAATCATTTCTATTTTAGCAAAATTTCGTATATTATTTGCATCTCGTCTTTGGGTCGAACAACATACATGACAATAGCATGGTCGTAGTCTCTTATATGAGCTTCGCCAATTGTGGGTTGTTGAGTCAAAAGGCAAACTTCTTTTGAATCATGAACTTTGTTATCATTTCTTCAACCAAACTTCGAACATTGGTCCAAATGGTGCCTTGATTGGACATTGTTGTTTGACCCCGATCTAGACAGAATTTCACTTCCTTGCCATATAACTTTGAGTGGTTTCTCAATGTGGTATTTTCGTCTTCCTTAAAGAAGATATCACATTTCTTGCGTCTAGTTAATGTTGTTGAATCCACATGTTTTTTGTTTTCTAGCACAAACTTTGACAACCATTAAGTAGGTTGACAAAGCTCTAACGCCAACAGAAGATTGCAAAGAGAAGTAAAGAAAGTCGCCATGAACAAGAATGCGTTTTGTGATATTAGAGAACTTTTTGAATGACGTGTTGTAACTAATTCATGTAATACCCCTATTTATGCTAACAAATAACGTACAAAATGGTCAATTTGACCATTAAAACAGTCACTAATAGGCTAATAGCTAAACTCATTAGACCAAAAAATCCAAAATGAAAACAAATTTCAACGACGATGTTTGAAAACTGGATTACAAACCGGTTTCACCCCAACACAACCCGAATTCAGAGTTATAATACTGAAACGGGTCCCAAACTGATGTTTTGACTTTACACCAAACCGGTTTCAAACAAAAAACGCAAAGAGGTTTATTCCTGGACCAAATTGAAAAAAAAAATCAATATAAAAATGCAACTTGATCCAGATTTTCTATTAAATGAAGAAAACTAGACACCGTTTCAATGCTTTCATCTCTTTCAAAAAACCACCTAAAAACATGAAGCCAAACTCGATCACAATTAACACATAATATAAAAACTCGCATATTGTATATAAAAGTAAAAGTTATAGATTTATATATGAAAACTATTCATTTTGTTTTAATATCAAGAAAGACATAGTCCACTTCTATCCCCTATTAACAAAAACCCACAAAATGATAAAAATCCACATGTATATATCGATTTCGGATCAAACACAAACAAATCGACACACCACTATTCACTACATGTACAACTCCCAAAAAAAAAAACCCTAAATTTAAGAAGCCAACATCACCAAAATGTCGGCTTTTACGTGTGGTCAACGCGGTCAACTCATTTCTTTAATTACCATTTCCCGTTTTCTTTACCGGGCTGTCCATGTCAATTAGTGTGAAGTCGTATTGTGCAGCGGCGGAATTCGATGCGTCTGAAAGCAACGAAGAATTCATTGCTTCTGATTTTGCGCGATTGGAGGGTGGAGTGGTTGTGGGGGTGGTTGCAGTTGCAGATGGTGACATGTCATCGCCTTTATTCGCGTACGTTTGTTTGTTTTTTCTAACGTTTTCCATTTCGGACCCGATTGGGACAAAAGTTCGGGCGCGATATTTTCGTGCACCTTCATCGCCCGTATCGTTGCTGTGGTTGTAGAGTACGTAATCGTGGTAAGCGGGTGCAAACTGCAAGAAATAGTTCGGGTAGATTAGTATATAATAATGCCTTAAGAAGTCTTAATAAGAAAAAAAAAAAAAAAAAAAAAAAAATGAAAGTAGAAAGGTACTTGATGAACAGTGTCATGATAGAAATCGTTCAAACTCAAAGCATGAGCAAGGCTAGCACCAAAGCCACGGGAAGCACCACCAATATTAGCACCCGCATATTCTTTGTATGGAAATGCATAAAGATGACCCAACGCTGCAATAAGCATCTCCACACATATTATAAAGTTTTGGAATTCAGCAGCTTCTTCTGCGTCTTTTATGTATCCAGATTTTGCAGCAAGAAATACCAAAACACCCTGCCAATATGTGAGAAAGACAACACTCTTGATGATGACGAATTTAGGAACAGGATTGAATGGCTGGAGGAGATCCCTGCATGCTACATAAAACAAGGCTAGGGCATACAAGGCCATAGAGTAGGAAACGGTGTATATAATTGTGATGTATAAGTAGGATTGTTTTGCACTGAAATTTCCATCTTGGTATTTCCCCTTTGCGTAGAATACAAATGTAACTCCCACTAAGATTGGCTTCAGAATCACAAACTGTAAACACCCTTGCTTACATCTCCTTATGAAACGCCTACCATAAACCAAATCATACAAAACAAATTTAAAAAAAAAAACTATATAAGAAAAAACAGAAATGAAATAGAACTCACCCATCTAGTGGGATTGGAGGAAAGCAACATGTCATTAAACACCAATTAGGTTTAAGAAGACGTCCAGAAAGACTTAAAACAACAGCACCTGGCCCACCTACCCATTCCAGGCATAGTGACAAGAAATTGTATATAACCCAAGCTTCATATCTGAAAAAACATTAATTAATCAACTAAGATTGATCTTGTTAATCTAGATGCAACGAGAAGAGTTCAGGGATTTATATTGTTAATGATTCTTTGCAAGTATCACATACTCACACTTCTCGAATGGAATTGAAGTAGATTGTTTTCGAGTTGAAGATAAGTGAGAGGAAAGACATCAATGCATAGACCTGTCAACAAGAAGAAATAGAAAGAAACATTATATTAACAATAATAAACTTTGAAGATACTTATCCAAAAGCCATGAAACTTGAGGGAGAAGCTAAAAGTACACTAAAGGAGTGTGACAAATTTCGGTGCATTTGGATAAGGATAAGAGGATTAATCTTCAGCCATTTAGTTTCCTTATCTCAAAATTATGATAGATATGATTTGCTTTAGTTTCTTTAGTCTATAAGTTGTTTCCTAAATCCTAATTGTAACAGTTTTATATTATATTAATATGAAATTAGTTTCTTTAGTTTCTCTTGATCAGTGTTATCGATAGTGAATTACATACATACTCATACATATACATTACATACATACCTATAAAAACTATTAGCAAAAAATAGAAAACCGATGCATAGTACATACTTATACATTACAAATCATACATATAGTCATAATTCATACTTATATGGCCACTATTGATATCGCATTCACTTAACCTCAATCCATAACAGAATCATTACAGAATAAACATGATTGGGGAGGAGATAAAACAGCAAACATAACTGCACAAGTGAAGTGACAAAAAGGCACATATAACATGTTTATTATTTTTCTAATTGTTTATTATATTAGTTGAAAAGATATTTCATGTGCTCGGATATCATTCAAATTAGGACCCAAAATGAAATATTATTAAATCATTATATGTGTCAAAGATCAACCAATGGCTGACTTCTTTAAATCTTGTGCCTTGTGCACCATTTTGCCTTGCACATTAAAGGCAGCATAGCACGTGTCAAAAAAGGTCACATGTCAAATTCAAGTAGATTGTAATACAAGGGCATCTATGCATTTTTGGAAAGGGCACACTTTGAACAATAAGACAGTAATCTTAGATCTAGTGACCTAAAAACTTAATAACTTACCACTTTTTCAACATTATGACAGAAGATTATCCAAGTTAACTTGCAAACTAAATACATGTTGTGTTTCCTTCACCTTTTTAGTTAGATTGCTATTTAACAATGGATATTTCTATGATCGATAGGTAAAAGTACATACGAATTGAGAGTTGAGACAACAATATTGGGAACCCAGAAGACACATTCCCAGTAGTGTTCGGTATGTCAAAGTGGATCATCTGATTTGTACAAACCACTAAACCACCATTAACAAGGAATTAACGTCATTATCTCCAGAATGTTGAAGAAACATGGCATAACTAAGAAAAATAGTCCATCATACATGTTCATTATGCCATTGATAGATTAGAAAACAGGCAATGCTCGTATATGGGCACTAGATTTCAGGTAGAAACACAATTCTGTACATAGTATTCACCTAGATGTGGAAAAAAAAAAGATGAAGAGAACATACTTACAGGAACCATGAAAATTATTCTGACAATGAATCGCTGATATGTTGGTTCAGTGTAATTCAAAAGATGCCTGTATATGTGAAGAAGCGCCAAAGCAATCGCCCCAATTGTGCAAGGCAATGCCACTAATATATAGTATACTGGCCCCATTTTGCTACGCTCCCAGAGAACAACCCCTTTTTCCACTGAAATATAAAGGAGCAAATGAATTGAAGGACAAGGGTTATGTTATAATGGAAACCAACACCGCCTCACTAACTTAATGACAGACAATTTGGATAAAAAACAAACCTAAAATTAGACGCGTGTATAAGAATTGTAGGGTTTTGTATTCGTTAGAGTATTGTTCGAGTAACGCATTTGAATTAGTTGCTCAATTTTTCAGAGTGCACGTAAATAAGCCCTAACTCCCAAAAACGGAAACCTACGTCGTATACAGAGATCAATACCAACATCGTGATGTGGTGAAGGAAAAGTAAAGGAAAAATGATATGGAGAGGAGATGAAATGAGAAAAAATGACTGACCGTTTGCCGATTAAATCGGGGGTATTGGGGTCGATGAAGACGATGATGGCATACAAAGATAGATTGGGTGATTATGTTAAATGCAAGGAAATCGCGTAGGGTGTTAAAGATTAGGTGTTAATGGCGGCGTCCAGTGGTGTTGCGCTGGATCCACAACAGCTACTATCGGAATTGCGTCGATCTTCCTTTCACAATCAAATTTCTTGCCAACATCTGTCTTCCTTTTAGGATACACTATTAAATTAATTTATTGATGGAAAATGAATATTAACAAAGGTAATTAACTTTTCGTTCGATATGTTCACCTCTAGTTAACTATCTTTTTTTTTTTTGTACATATAACAAACTTGTTGGAAGTGTTCACGTATGACCATTATGATTTGCTAATATTTTCAACAAGTTCGTTATGTAAAAAAAAATAGGTAACCAAATATGAACAAAACGAAAAGTAAAAATAAATTACACAAATGGTCGTTATGATTTGGGAGAATTTGGGTTTTTGGTCCCTAACTTATCTTTTTAACTCGGATGGTCCCACTGTTTATTTTTGTTACGCGTTTGGTCTCTGTCTTACCTAAAAAGACTATTGTGTCCTTATTAATTTATTTTTTAATTAGTTTTCTTATTTATGTATTTATTTTTTATATATTTAAAAAAGATTAATAGACCCCACATATTTGTATCTCCTCACCATAAACCTCAAACCACATTTGAGAAATTTAATTCGGATGGTCCCTACTGTTTATTTTTGTTGCGTTTGGTCACTGTCTTACCTAAAAAGACTATTGTGCCCTTATTAATTTATTTTTTAATTAATTTTCTTATTTATGTATTTATTTTTTATATATTTAAAAAAATTAATAGACCCCAGATATCTGTATCTCCTCACCGTAAACCTGAAACCACAATTCAGAAATTTAATTTGGGTCTTACCGGTCAGCATCTCATCTCTCATCATCCCCAAAGATGGAAAATAAATAGAAGTTAAGGAGGATGAGAGATGGGATAGTGAGGAGATACAGATATGTGGGGTCTACTAATTTTCCTTAAATATATAAAGAATAAATACATAAATAAGAAAATTAATTAAAAAAAATAAATTAATAAGGGCACAATTGTCTTTTTAGGTAAGACGGAGACCAAGCTCGTAACAAAATTAAACAGTAGGGATCATCCCAGTTAAAAAATAAATTAATTAAAAAAATAAACAGTAGGGATCATCCGAGGAGATACAAATATGTGGGGTCTATTAATTTTTTTAAATATGTAAAAAGTAAATACATAAATAAGAAAATTAATTAAAAAATAAATTAATAAGGGCAAAATAGTTTTTTTTAGGTAAGACAGAGACCAAACGCGCAACAAAAATAAACAGTAGGGACCATCCAAGTTAAAAAAAATAAGTTAGGGACCAAAAACACAAATTCCCCCAAACCACAGGGATCATTCGTGTAATTTACTTTTACTTTTCGTTTTGTTTATATTTGGGTAACTATTTTTTTTATACACATCTAGGTAACGAACTTGTTGAAAGCGTTCACATCTAGGATTTAACCTGCTATAGCAGGTCATAATGGTCATATGTGAACACTTCCAACAAGTTTGTTACCTAGATGTGTACAAAAAAAAGATAGTTACCCAGATGTAAACATATCGAAAAGATAATTACCTTAATAAGTCATTTTCCCTTTATTGATCGGTGCTAATATTTCTTTTACAGTGATTATTTCTTTTAACCAAATATTTTATAACTTTTTAGACTACCTTATTTGTTCATTTGAAGGGAATACGAGTTATAAGGCTGGAGGGAGTGGTGACACCAAAACCGCACTCCCTCCCTCGCCACATAAGCGCCACGTCATTTTCTACCACACAAGTGTGGTTTCTTGCCACACCAAGGGAGTGGTGCCACACTTTTATTTTCTTTTTTTTTGTTTTTTTTTAACTATTTTAACGGTATTCTCCACGGTTCATCTTCCCCCATTTAGAGTACACTTGATGTTTTGAACGGTATTCTCCACGGTTCATTCCTTTATGGAACCTATGTAAAACGCGCATCCAAAAGCGGTCATGCTTTTGGTCTTTTCCAACCGTCACATCTTCTGAAATATCGATCCAAGATTGTGCCAACACTAACGCTTCCAGAGGATCCCAACATCTAGCCTCCGCCTTCTCTTTTCTTTTAGTTGCTGCTCGAGTGGGCTGAGTTTCTGTAACGAATTCCGGTTCGGAATCAGAGACGACCGTTTCTGGTTGTGTTTGTGTTTGCTGAACAAACTCGGGGTGAGACAAAAAAATCAAATGGATTAAAATCTGTGTCGGGTTGTGGTAGTGTTTGAGGTAACGGTGGTGTATGTGGTAGTGGTTGCGCTGGTCGTTGTGGAAAATACGGAAGCATACCGCCGTAGTGGTAATACGGAGGTGAGAAAATCGGTTGATCAAATGAAGGTATTGGGGTGTTGGTGTTTCTGACCGGTGTTTTTTCTTTGTTGGGTCGTTTGGAAGATGACATTTTCGAAAAAATTGGAGAAGAAGAGTAAAGATTATGGTTAAAGTTGTGTAAAGGTTGTGTAAAGATTGTGTAAAATGGTAATATATATATATATATATATATATATATATATATATATATATATATATATATATATATATAGAGTAAAGTTTTTTTTTTAAAAAAAAAGTTACAAGAATCAATGACCGTCAACGGTCAAAAAGGAGTCAAGACCATGGACCAATCAGAATACGCGGTTGTTTCTAGCCGCAGTGCGGCCAAGACCACACAAGACCGCACCCTGGGGGTGGTGTTTGCGGTTGACGTGGCACAATCGCGGTTAGGAACCGCACTCCACACCGTATAGCCTACGGGTGTTTCCGATTATTTTTGAAAGACTAAACTGTACAAATGGTCATGTGGTTAGCTGAAAATTGTCACTTTGGTCCAAAAAAGTTTGCACTAAAGTTCCAAACTTTTCTTTTTGTTGCGAGTTTGGTCCAATTTAGTTTTAACTTTTTTTATAATGACGAATTTGCCCCTGAATTTATCCTTTGTATTTCTTTTTTGAATATTTTTATTATAGAAATTAAAAAAAATACTCTCTCTCTGTGTGTGTGTGTGTGTGTATGTGCGTGTGTTTTAAAATGTTTCACTCTATGATACCATTTGAAGAACCCAAACCACCACCAGTGGAAGTGACGACTAAGGAACTCGTTCTCTGAATCTGGAATCTGATCTGATTCCCACACTACCATCCTCTATCTATTGTATCTCAAATCACCATTCCTACACCATCGTGGTTGATTTGCTTCACACATCACCATCTCCAATCTGTTTCAAATGCCACTTTTATGAAACCCTAGCACCGCCACCCTTCTCACCGGTATCTTTTCTGAACATTGATGTCATCGGAAACCCTAGAGTTTTCCCGATTACAAATCAATTTTTTGTGGATGAATACTCACACACAAATCAAATTCCATAAATGAAAAAACACACACAAAACACAGTGATTTCTGTAAACTAAAAATAAAAATCGTTCCACCTAACAGAAGCTTTAAAATCCATCGCAACATCCTTCCACTGTTGTTCATCCACAGGACAAATATCGAGATAGAAGAAGAAAAAAAAAGATACACAGTCTGAGACAAAAGATCGAATAGAGATTAAACAAATTTGGCATCGTCAGATAACTCGTCTTCTCCGATGAAGTAGGATCTAAGAAAGGGATGAGCTAGGGTTTGCATCGATGATCCTTCTTCTCTGTTGTCGATGTTGAATCCTTCTTCTCCAACACTAGGGTTTCATAAAGAAGTGGTGGTCCGATTGTAGGAGCAGGGAGGTGCACAATAGTGGTGGTGATGGTTTTTCTTCTTCATCCTTGTTTCAAATCTATATCCCCTCCGATCGAAGATGAAGTATGGTGAAAGATTATGAAGGCAAGCGATGGTGAAATAGTTATGTCGATGAAGGTCAGGGCCTGAATATAATGGGTGTGTATGGTCGGCGTTCTCAAAGAGAGAGAGAAGAAGGATCGATTGTGAAACATCCTAAAAATTCATGACCAAAATTTTCATTTTTAATTATTAAATAAAACCATAGTTATCAAACCATTCCATCAAAACATGAGTCAAAGTATTTCAAAACATTACTATCAAAGTTTCCAAATCAAAACATCAGAGTAAATATCTCAGGTTAAACATCATGGTGTGTGCAATGCAGTCATCCTGAGCTCTTCCCTACGTTGGGCCCCCGCCTGACCTTCCTCGGGCCCCGCCCGGCATCAGACTCTGCCTGGCATCGAGCCCCGCTCGGTATACATATCTGTTTCTCCCAGGCCCCGCCTGTCACTGGCCTCGCCCGCTATACACATACAAACAATATCATATAATCATACTAGCACATAAAGAATCATACATAGTACTATATGCTCTAGTCCTAAGGCCTCGCCTATCATGTACCCAGCCCTTACTCTGCTAATGATGAGATATGGAACCCCGTCCACACTCAGTTAGTGATGAGATACGGGACCCCACCCACACTCACCTTCCTACCAGGCACATACAAGTATCACTTAGACAACAAGTATAATCCAACATATAAACATTCCTCGAGCCTCGCCCAACATCGGATGGAAATCTATAAGCATACAAACATTCCTCAGGCATTGCCCGGCATCGGACCGAAATCTGGAAATCATATAAGCATACATCGGGTACCACCCGGCATCGTACCTTAGTCCGGAACATACTAACATAAATATGCGGGCCGACATTGGTGCCTTCGACCCGTTTATACAGGAGGAAACTCACCTCGCAAAGCTGAATCTCACGGATAATCCTCTGGCTGCTAGCTGGCAGATCCTCGAACTGTTGATCTCTCGACTCCCCGAGCTACTGATCATCATATAAAGTAGTTAAGTTCGGGATTCTCATAGCTTAACCATAAGTCCTCACTAGGGTAAAAGACCATTCTACCCCTCACATACTCTAGTCCCAAAATGAACCCTACTCAACCCTTGGCATAAAAAGATAAACACTCCTACAAGGCCCAATATATGGCCCAATTTCCAATTAGGCCTAATCCCTTCACATGGGCCTCAACCTAAGGCTCAATAATGCTTCTCTAGTCCAAGGGTTCAATCCCAGATGGCCCACTAAGGCCCAAAGTAGCTGTTACAACTGGCATTTTTGGCTAGGAAATTTTGCCTTATTGTAATCAACTATTGATGTATCTTGTAGCTTCAAGTTTAAGGTTATACATAATACTCATTCAAAAACAACTATTCGAATCAAAACTCACTCGTGAAGTCCTAAACCTAATTCAACACATTTCATACACTCAACTTTGGTTTGTAACCTTAATTCCCTAGTTCAAACTCTTATTGGACCAGGACCCTCTTGTTGAGCCTAATGGGCCAATAAAATCTCAATTGGATTATTTTTGGATTAAGGAACCTTATTTGGGCCCTAATTGGAACCACACTCATTAAACTATAACATTTTGGACCATAAGACTTTTCATGGGCCTTATTGGGCCTAAAATGTCTCACTTTGTTTTCATGGGCCTTATTGGGTCGTAAACAACTTCCTTGAACCTTATTGGGCCGGAAACCCATTCTTTTTGTCATGTTGGGCCGTAAACACCTATGTGGGCCCACATGGATCAAAACTCCCTAATGGGCCAAGGCAAGAACATGCCCAAAACACTCTTTCTTTCTTTCCCTCTCATTCTTGGCTATATATATATATATATATATATATATATATATATATATATATATATATATATAAGAATAAAAGATGGGATGTAACATCCCAAACATTCGGTCCAAAATTTTCGTTTTGAAACCAATATTTAAATCTATAAACCATTCATAATCATAAAGAAAAACCATGTATCATGTATCTCAAAACATCATATCAAATACTGTGACAAAACATGTGATAAAATATCAGAGTAAAACTCTCAGGCTGAAGACTGTGGTATGTGCCATGCGATCATCCCGAGCCCTTCCCTTTACTAGCTAAAGTACCTGAAACCAAAACTGAAAACTGTAAGCACAAAGCTTAGTGAGCTCCCCCAATCTACCACATACCATACACATAACATATCACATATAACATAACTCTGGGACTACTCCCAACTGCATCGGGACGAATCCCGACATCGGCTTACCCGGCATCGGACTCTTGCCCGACATCGGGCTCACCCTGGTATCCGCCCGCATTGGGCATCGGGCTTGCCCCGACATCGGGCTTACCCCGGCACATACACAGCATAACATATATCATAATCACATAATCTGCATTGGGCTTGCCCCGGCATCGGACCGAAGCCCTGAACATATAGCATATAACATATAAACTAGCATACTTTGGGCTTACCCCGGCATCGGACCGAAGCCCGGAACACATAACATATAACATACAACATGCATGAATCACAGAGACATCAAGCATACATAACTACTTCTGGGGACCGCCCCGGCATTGGACCGAAGTCCGGAATCATATAAACTGCATCGGGCTAACCCTGACATCGGGCTTACCCCTGCATGCTAGAACTACATAAACGGGTCGGCATTGGTGCCTTAGACCCGTTCCTACAGTAGGAATACTCACCTCTCAATCTGGCTGCTGAAAACTCGTGCGAGGTAACTTTGTTTGCTGCTCCAACTACTCCCCGACTATTATGACCAAATAAACACTTAGTAAAAAACTAAAGGTTCTTCTAAGGGTAAAATGATTGTCTTACCCCTTTTGATCTAATTTAGGCCATGACCTAGACACAATCCTTTCTAGTCCTTTCAAACTCAATAAATCCCATTAAAGTCCCCAAGTAGCCCAATTTTCTAAACTGGGCCCAACTCCTCAAATGGGATTTCCTCTCAAGCCCAACTAGTCCTTGGGCCCTTAACTGACTCCTGAAGGCCCATCACGACCCAACTACTGCTATGTCCAAAGCTTGGCCCAAACCGAGGCCCAATAACATAAAGCCCACTGCCTGAGCATACGCTGAGTGTACCCTTTTGTACGCTGCGCGTACTGCTTGAATGGCTTGTACGCTGTGCGTATTGGCGTGTACGCCCAGCGTACTCTCCTGTTAAGCCACCTTCTCCAACACTGCTTAATCCATTAAGACACTACGTCCAAACTACAGATCTGAGTCCAATACTTCGCCCTAACCCATAAAGTCGATCACTTGGTGGCTTGCAACCCACCAAACGAACCCAACTCTAAAAATAGCACTAAACTTCCATAGAAATGGATAGATCTCATGCATGGCTACATAAAGGCCTCAAAGCTTGAAACTTTACTGCTAAAGGAACACTTTGAGCTTCAAGGGTGGCAACCCTAAGTCCAGAAACGGATTTGCACCATAAAA